AAACTACTCTACCCATACCCCGCCCCAATGCAGCAAACGGCCCAACCCTCTCTCTCATTTTGTTGACGTTGCACTGACTCGTCCTGCTCCAACACTCTGATCGGGGAGGGGCTAGTAGTGCCTCTCAGGTAGCGGTTCGTGTTGACAAACTCAATAACAACGTCTGTATTTTGTTGTCCTATACATGTTAACCTCTTCGGATGTTTACCTGTATAAAAAGCCTCAAAAATCAGTAAATTTTGCAAAAAATCCTTACCATTCGCACCTGCTACGAAGCAGGAGGAAAGTAGAGCGGAAAAAGTTCAAAACTTATTTCTATCGGCAGAACAAGTTGGAAGATGGCTATTTAATGTTGTTTATTGTTTKTTTAAATCGTTCTACAGGCTCTGACATATTAGATAAATTTGAAAATGAGGTTTTGAAAAAAATCAGTAAGTCTTGAAAAAATCCGTGAGATTGCCCTATACGTCCGTATACCTGCAAAATGACGTAAAATCCTTATAACTTACGAACAATCTGTACAAGCTGACATGTRTGTTGTTATTTATTTGCTTTCTGAGAAAGCAAATAAATCTAAGCTTGCCACAGTAACTTACACTGTCAAACTTAGTTTTAGGGGTTTTAATTGGGATGGGTGGGACATAGTTCGAGGTGGGGGTTGCGCTTCAACTCGCCTAGGGCACCAAAATGGCTAGAGCCAGCAATGTATGTGTATATGTATATATATGAATGTGTATGTAGGTATCGGTATGTTTATATATGTATATAGGTATAGCTTTCAGCAAGGCTATAATCATTGTAATTATACAGAAATGCATTTTTTGTTGCTGTGGTTTTGTTATCTTTGTATTTGTAGGTGTGGAGCCAAGATGTCGGGTGTGCTGTCTTGTGCTTTCTTGATACATATTTCACATATCTTCTTATCTCTCTTTCACTACTTCTCATTACATTTCACTTTTTTCCTACTCTTTTTTTTTCTTTTAAAAAAAAGAAAAAAAAAAAGAAAAAAATCACTGATGATAAAAAAGCTAAGACACTAATATTTAGTTCTGCTTTCTACTGAAGTGGCTAAAATAGATAAAGGTAATATTGCACACAAGCACACTTGCTCATTTATATGTAGGATTTTAACATTTATATATATGTATTTTAATATTCTCAGTTTTGGGTCACTTTTGGAAAAGTCATCAAAGTTCAGGCTGAAACTGGTACAAGTCAATGCGAATGTCTCTGCCTGCCCTAGACTCATCTGCGTTCAAGGCACTGGGCATGAAGCTACCTGTTTATCTCTATTTTTGAACTTGATTATACTAAGTATGTAACTAAAATAACAATGTCTAAACATGACTTCCTCTTTGATATTTACCATATCATCAAATTTAGTAACTAACCACTTATGTGTACCATCCCGAATAAAGGGATTCAAACCACAAAGACAACTTAACCTGACTTTCACCTTTGACCTTTGACCCMAAAAYGTTTTCAGACCTCCATTGGGCTCAGAACAATGACCATGTTCATTTTAACTGCAATCAGTAGCTCTGTTCAGTGCACACAAGAAAGTGTGACAGACAAAATTCACATTTGAAGTTCAGTGCTGCAATATATGGGGTGCCGTTTGTAAAGTTACACAGTTAAAAA